GGGAGCTGGGATTCGGTCAGCGGGCGGCGAGCTTGCTTCCCCCGCCCCCGACTGGGTGGGCTCTGACTCCCTGCTGAGGCTCAGGCTTGGGGCTGGGCTTTAGCGGAGCCGACCTTGTGCAGTTTTAAATGCATAGCCCTTCCTTTGGCATACGGGGGTGCCGGGCTTGGCGAGGACCGACGTGAGCCCTGTCCTGTCGGCAGGTGCACCTGAGCCGCGAACGGTCCGCACCAATGCCCTGGAGGTCGGCGTGCCACCCTGAATGCTGCGGGGCCCCCCGAGATAGCTGAGGTTGCATACCAGCGGGGTGGGGAGTGGCCCAGGACCACTGCTTCTCTGAGGACTTCCCTCGGGTGAGCAGACGTCTCTGGGCTCCAGGAAGTGCAGGCAGGGAAGGCCATCCAGTCCTCCCAGGGAACTCGCCGGGCAGAGGTGAGAGACGCCCCGCGCTAGCTCCCCGGGTAACGGTAACAGCGTTTCTGACACCTCGAGGGTCGGTGGGGCTTCTCAGTGTGTGCAGAGAGGGCAGGGATTTCAGGAAGAGCCCCAGCCGCAGTCTGGGCGTCAGAAAGCATGGGGCGCGGTCAGGGCCTGCCCGCCGGGATGGGTGGCACATGGAGATGAGGCTGGGTTGGGACTGTCCCAGACTGGGGCGCTGTCTCAGGAGTTGGGGTGAGAAGGGGGGAGCAGTACTTTAAGAGCTGCGACCTGGCTGTGTGTCCTTGTCAGAGTAGGAGCAAGGCCTAGGGTGGCCCCTCTGGCAGGGTGGGGAGAGCTGCAGCCTGCCGGGCCCTGCCACCCGCAGACCTCTGTGTGGCTCTCAGTCTTGCTGTGTGATCTCGGGCCGTCCCTTCAGTTCTCTGAGTCTCGGTTTTCTTAGCCATGAAATGGGGAGACCCCCTGCATCACTTCAATTTTCCCTTTTAAATGCTTTTTTTTTTTTCCTTTTTAGAGAGAGATTGTTTGCTATGGGGCATGTGCACTCGCCAGAGACAGAAAGCGAGAAATGACCCCTCAAGGGTGGATGGCCATACCGCTGTTGCTTCTCTTCCATTCTCCTCGTGGGATCTCGGGCACACACGCTCACGTGCCCATGTGAGTTTTAAGGCGCCAGGCCAATGACTCGAACCACGATTGACTGGGAGTCCAGCAATGTCACCATTACGCCAACCACTGGTCCCTTTAGGTGTGTTTTATTCCTGAGAGCATTGGGATGTGGGAGCGAGAGTAGACGGGTGTCCTTGGCAGGGCTCTGGGCACGTCGTGCGCCCCTGGTGTGTCATTTGTCGACCAGGCTGGGAATCAGAACCTGCAGTGGACTGTAGCCTCTCTCACTGCCATGCGGCACAATGCCAGCCACGCCGCGAGGCGGGGCCCACGTAGGGCTCTTAACTGCAACAGCAGGGCGTGGGCCGTGTAAGTGGGGAAGGACTGCTGCAGAGAGAGCCGGCTTGGGCCAGTAAGTCAGGAACAGAGACCCAGACCAGGCCAGGTTGGCCTGGGGAGAGCCGCTGCCTCACCGAGTGCTGGACGCAGCTAACCGTGTGTGCGGACACTCCATGCAGGTCAGCGGCCTGGAGCGCGGCCCTGGGTCACTTGGGAGGCGCGTCCTCTGCTGCTTCTGAGCTCCCCGGGTGTCGGCTCAGTCAGCGGCCGCTGCGGTCCGGGGGCCTGGGCACACGCCATGGCCCTCGCTGTGAATAGCTAGCGTTTTGGGCAGCCATGGTGGGAGCAGTCTGTGCCACCTGCCAGCCTCAGAAGGTGGGGGACAGTAAGAGGATGCGCATCCACTCCTGGTGGGGAAGGGGCAGCTCTGGCCCGGGCGGCCGTCACCCAGGGCCGGCAGAGCCCCTGCGGGAGATCTGGCAGCTGCCCCAGCACTGAGGGCCAAGGCAGGAGCCCCACCCTGTGCAGGGCTCTGGCCACCCACAAAGACAAGACGACCCGTCCCTCCCACCCTCTCCACTGACAGGGAGCCCAGGCTGGTCCAGGGGACAGGCACAGGGACCTGAAGCACCGGGCACGTCCCTGGTGTCCGACCTCGGACTTCCCCACGGGTTTGGCATCGACTGTTCGTGGCATGTAAATGTCGGGCAGACCCGGGGGAGGAATGTTGTCGGCCGAGTGACCACGAAGCAGGAGAGGGAAGCTGTCAGGGGGAGCATTTGTCAGGGCGAGGGCGAGGGTGGCCAGGGTGTTTTGAAAGGGCACAGCTACGCCTGCAGACACGGGCCGTGAGGGGAGCCAGCTCTGCAGAGGACGAGCACCCCGAGATCCCGGGGACGGGCCTATCTCCAGACCTGCCCACACTGAGAGCCCGTAAGTGCAGCGCTCCGCACAGGGCTAAAAGCCCTGTTGTTTCCCTAACTGTGAGGACGTCTGAGTTATGGCATCGGCCTCTGGGAGCCCCTCAGCGGGCGGAGCGGCGTGAACCGCCCGCCGGATCCAGACATCGGAGTTAAGGGTGAGGACGGGCTTGATGAAGAGCGGGAGGCCGGCGGGCCATGCATCTTCCACTCCAGAGGGCTGGGAGCCAGTCTCCCAGGAAGGCAGTCGGGATTTGGGCCGGGAGGCGGGCGATTCCCGCGGCCTCCGCTTCAGGGCGATTAGAGGGGAGTGGGCGAGGAGCTGCCCCCGCTCAGCCTGGCTCCGCGGGCTCCGGAGAGTGGCACTCCCGCCTGAGAAGTGCTTGCGTGGCCAGTAAGTGTTAATATCCATTTGGGCTTCCGTCAGAAGCAATCTTTCCCCGGGCAGCGCTGGACACCTTTCAGGATCGCCGGCTGCCAC